ATTTTATTTATGTATGTGTGTGTGTGGCCAGCTCAGCCCACCAGGGGGCAGGGCTGGCTGGCATGTGGTGCTGGGGGATTGAACAGTGGTCCCTGTGCTTTAGCTAAGTTTGTTCTAAGTAGGTGCTTTAGACCACTGAGCCATCTCACCAGCCCCCTACAATATATTCTTAAGCACTAGAAAATATTACATGTTCAAAAAGAACTGTTTGATATTTTTCTTCACCTGTACATGGCCTACCCTCTATAGCCAAAATGGTATGCAGAGAAAAGTATTAATTTTGATGCTGCTTCACAAGTAGAATTGTACTGTGAGAAAGAGAATATGTGGCTTAGAATTACCTTATGTTCAGACTTTCTTTGCATTAAGAAATAAGTGTTACTTGTGCCCAAAGTGTAATTATAAGCCATCTAAGACTATCACATTCATGTTTTCTCCTCTCAGTGACCTCAAGCAGATCAAGCTAGATACAGGAAAGCTTTTAAATGACCCTGATAAGTACATTGAGGTCCTTAGAGGAATTACTCAGACCTATAAATTAAATTGGGCAGATGTAATATTATTCTTAAGTCAAATATTAATTTTTACTGAGAAGTAATATTAAAAGCTGCTATTTCATTTGGGGATGAATATCATATTAATTTTAGAAAGTTAGAAGATAGGCAGCCAGAGGAACAACCAGTTTCCACTAAAGCCCAAGCAGTCCCTACCCAAGACCCCTACTGGCCTAACAACCAGACAGGAGATTTGAATAGATGCATTTTCAGCTATGTATTCTTGAAAGCCTAAGAAGGACAAAAATCAAACCTGCTAGATATTTTAAATTGTCAACTATCAGGATAAAGATGAAAATCTTCTTCCACAGGCACTGATAAATCACATGCATGTGCTGGGCATGATGGTGAATGTCTGTAATCGCAGCACTCAGGAGGCTGAGGCAGGAGAATCTTGGCAAGTTTGAGACTAGCCTGGGCTACATAGTAAGTTCAAGGCCAACCTGAACTACAGAGCAAGACCCTGTCTAAGACAACAAAAACAAAAACTGTAAAAGTATCCATTACTTACTTAATTATAGTAGTAAATAGTGATATTAAGTAACAAAATATGGCTTTTACTCCAGATAGTTCACTTGATTTTTTAGTAAAAATTGTTTCCTCAGTATTCTATAAGTGAGACTGGGCAGAAGCCAAGGGGAGGAAACAAAGAGGCCAAAAAGAAGCAGCTCCCTTTATTTTAGCCTTAAAAAGAACAGACTCTTCAGTCTGACTCTCAGGGCTCCAAGAAGAGCTCAATGACTAAATTTACCTACTACCACTGTGAAAAGCCAGGTTACCTTAAAGGGCACTGCCAGTGACATAGGGGAAAATGAAACTCTCAACCTGAATGAAAGGTTCTTGGAGGAGTTTGTGTTCTCTAAAACCAAAGAATGAATTTTAGGAACAAACAGAGGTTAAAGGTAGAATATATTTATTGGGGGAAAGAAAGCTTCTGTCTAAGAGAGGGACAGAAGGAGGGTCTGAGTGGGTTGTCCCTGGGAAACTGTCTCTTCCAGGGACTTTTTTTTTTTTTTTTGTGGAACCGGGGATTGAACTCAGGCCCTTGCACTTGCCAGGGAAGCACTTATTCCACTGAGCCATCTCCCCGGCCCTAGGGACTTTTATAGAATAAAACCATGTGGTGAGGCAGGTCTAAGGTGGAGACCATGGGAACTCACTTAGGTGGGCATGAAGTGGGACAAAACTATGGTCAACCAATGAGATTATAAGCACCATTGCCCAGGTAAAATTGATCAAATCCAGCACCAAATGGAGAAGCAAATCAGGTAGCAAGCAGACAAGAAATGGGAAAGGTCTCTTCCTGTTGGGTGTTGAGTTAGTGACTCTTTAGGGTCCTTTCAGGGTGATTGATACCTATTTAGAATATCCCTGTTGCACATCCCTAGGGACATATGTGGCTGCATTTGTTTACTCTTTTTGTCTTGAGGTCTGGCCCACAGTGGGGAGTGTCTGTCTCTTCCAAAGTTGCAAAGTCATCTTGTCCTTCATATTGTCCTTGAGGACCTAGCCCTGTCTGACTGCCTATCATATTTCTATCTAGTTTAGCTGCCTACAACACCAGGAGATACCCCCCAAGCCATGCCCTGACTACAAAGGTCACCACTGGAAGTTGAACAGCACTCTGAGGCGAGGATCCAGAGTTCAGACTCATCTTCCTGGCTGATCTAGCAAGACTAAAGGGCCCTGGGACACTCTCTGCATTCTTCCTCTGGCCAGACTGTCATCTCCACAGAGCAGGGAAATCATGACTATAGAAGGGAAGAGAACCTCTTGCTGGCCATTGGCATATGCTACTTTGTCCTCTTCAAACCTGGCCTTTACACTTCCTTCTTCTCCTGGCAAGATGGCGGGGGGTGAAGCTGGAGTGACTCTGGGGCAACCGCACCTTTCTCGCCAAGATCTTGCCACTTTGGATGTTACCAAGCTGACACCACTTTCACATGAAGTAATCAGCAGACAAGCTACAATTAATATAGGAACCATTGGTCATGTAGCTCATGGGAAATCCACGGTTGTAAAAGCCATTTCTGGAGTTCACACTGTCAGGTTCAAAAATGAACTAGAAAGAAACATTACAATTAAGCTCGGATATGCTAATGCTAAGATTTATAAACTTGATGATCCAAGTTGTCCTCGACCAGAATGCTATAGGTCATATGGAAGTGATACCCCTGATGAGTTTCCTACAGACATTCCAGGGACCAAAGGGAACTTCAAATTGGTCAGACATGTTTCCTTTGTTGACTGTCCTGGCCATGACATTTTGATGGCAACTATGCTGAACGGTGCAGCAGTGATGGATGCAGCACTCCTGTTGATAGCTGGCAATGAATCTTGCCCTCAGCCTCAGACTTCTGAACACTTGGCTGCAGTAGAAATCATGAAACTGAAGCATATTTTGATCCTACAGAATAAAATTGATTTGGTAAAAGAAAGTCAGGCTAAAGAACAATATGAACAGATCCTTGCATTTGTACAAGGTACAGGAGCAGAAGGGGCTCCCATTATTCCAATTTCTGCCCAGCTGAAATACAATATTGAAGTTGTCTGTGAGTACATAGTAAAGAAAATACCAGTACCTCTTAGAGACTTCACCTCAGAACCTCGACTTATTGTTATTAGGTCATTTGATGTCAACAGACCTGGTTGTGAAGTTGATGACCTTAAGGGAGGTGTGGCTGGGGGTAGTATTCTAAAAGGAGTACTGAAGGTGGGCCAAGAGATAGAAGTCAGACCTGGCATTGTTTCGAAAGATAGTGAAGGAAAACTCATGTGTAAGCCAATCTTTTCCAAAATTGTATCACTTTTTGCAGAACATAATGACCTTCAGTATGCTGCTCCTGGGGGTCTTATTGGAGTTGGCACAAAAATTGACCCCACCTTGTGCCGAGCTGACAGAATGGTGGGGCAGGTCCTTGGTACAGTTGGAGCTTTACCTGAGATATTCACGGAATTAGAAATTTCCTATTTCCTACTTAGACGGCTTCTAGGTGTACGCACTGAAGGTGACAAGAAAGCAGCAAAGGTCCAAAAGCTGTCCAAAAATGAAGTACTTATGGTCAACATAGGATCTCTGTCAGCAGGAGGAAGAGTTAGTGCTGTCAAGGCTGATTTGGGCAAGATCATTCTGACTAGTCCTGTGTGCACAGAGGTGGGAGAAAAAATTGCTCTGAGCAGAAGAGTTGAGAAGCACTGGCGTTTAATTGGTTGGGGTCAGATAAGAAGAGGAGTGACAATCAAGCCAACCACAGATGATGACTGAAGAGTCCCAGTTCAATTGTACATCTGAATGCAGCTGGAATTTTCTGAACAATTAAGGGGTATATTTTAAGAGAATTAATTTCACACCTCATTACCTTAGTAGGTAGATGTAAGATTCTTCTTCTTTTTGGGTGATGAAAATCTAACCTGTAGTACTAATACAAGGTCTCCAATAAATGTAAAAGTTGGTGTAATGTTGTATTGAATCTACATTTTACCAGAAGTTAAGCTTTTCCAAATCAGGTCTTATTTATACATCGATACAGGTTTGAAATAAAACCAATAAGTTTTTTTCAGGCACCTGGCACAGCAGAGAAACAGGCAAAAGGAAAAAGGGAAAGGGGCTTTATTATCTTTGAGGACACAGAGAGAATCTGGGGAAGATAAAAAATTTTCTGGAGTTGAACAAAAGGAGGCTGAGGCTTTCATGGCCAGGGGTGAAGTTTGAAGGGAATGTTTACATATATGTGAAAAGCTGATTGGGGCCTTCCCTGAGGTGACAGGAAGGGTGAAAGGAAACTGCACCCTGGGCTGAGTTGGAGAAGAAGGGGGAGGTGGTCTTGGGAAGAAGGGTTTTTGTTTTAAGGGTTTCAGCCATATTAGATGACCACCATAATGAATCAGCAATTTATACTAGGGCTAGAATATATCAGAAACCACTACAACCAGCCTTCTTTCTCTGTAGCACACATGCCACTGAACCTGTCTGAAATAAAGACTTTCTCCCTCCCTCCCTAGTCTCTCTCTCTCTCTCTCTCTCTCTCTCTCTCTCTATATATATATATATATATATATATATACTGGCCTTTAAGCCATCGTAGCTCATTGAAAGAAGTCACAAGAGAATAGGTAACTTGCTATTTTTCAACACTTCAGCCATAACTGGGATAATTTTTTCTTCATCTGTTTTTTATTATGCCTGATAGCCCAGTTTCCCTGTTGGGGAGAGATATTTTATCTTGTTAAAATACTGTAATATATATGCACCCAGGTCAGGTATGCTACCTTCCCCTCTGGGAGACAAATAAATCCTGAATCCAGGCAACTAAATGTAGACTAAATAGGGCAACAACTGCTGCTGTGGTGCAGCTACATCTCTAAGACCCTACTATTTTTCCTCACCACAGACAATATCCATTAAGGCCCTAGTTAAGAGAGGATTATTGCCTATAATTGATAATATAAGGACACAAGGTTTACTTGAACCCTGAATTGCCTGTGCAATACTCTAGTCTTGGGAGTTCAAAAAGCCCAATGGAGAATGGAGGTTGGTACAGAAACTTGGATTGCTAAATGAAGCAGTAGCGCCCATGTCCCCCACTGGTACCCACCTGATACACTCTCCTTTCTCAGATTCTGGAAGATGCCAGTTGTTTTTCAGTGTTAGATTCAAAGGATGCTTTCTTTTGTATTCCTTTACATAATACAAGTTTATTTTTTCTTTAAATATCCTCACAAGTAGGAGTCTCAACAGACACTGACTGTGCTTCCTCAAAGGTTTAGAGATAGGCCTCATCTTTTTGGGCAAGAGCTTTCCCACCACTTGGCATTTTTTACTCTTCCCAGGTCACCATCTTAAAATACGTAGATAATGTACTTCTTTGTGCCCCCTCAGAAGGCCTCTCTAGCCAAGGAATCCATGCTCTCCTGAATTTTCTAGCAGACATGGGTCATAAGGTTTGGAGTTTTTTTGTTTTATTTTGTTTTTTGTGGTTTTTACATCCACGGCACAACTTTGCATCCTTTTTTTTTTTTTTTTTTTTTTTGAATTTGAGGTGTGCTTGCTTGCTTGCTTGCTTGCTTTTGCAGAACCAGGGACTGAACTCAGGTGCTTGCGCTTGCCAGGGAAGCACTTATTCCACTGAGCCATCTCCCTGGCCCCCCAGCTTTGCATCCTTGAGGTAGAATATTTAGGCCTTATCATATCCAGAGGAAACTGAGTGCTAAGAAAAGAAAGAATAAAACTAATTCTTTCCTTCCCACAACCCAAGACTCTAAAACAGCTAAGGGGATTCCTAGATACTATAGGGTTTGTCACCTTTGGGTAGCAGGATATAGTGAAATTGCTCAATTCCTCTATCAGCTTATAAAAGAAATGTAAAAGGCAAATACCCATATTTTAACCTGGGAACCTGTCTCAGTTACTCTTCCCTCATTGCTGGGACAAAATATTTGACATCCAAAATGAAGCAAGAAAAGGTTTATTTAGCTCACAGTTTACGGAGGTTTCAGTCCATACTCAACTGGCTCCAAGGCAGAGCGGCACATGGCAGAGGGCAGCCGTTTTTGGCAGCAGCAAAGAGCAAGACAGCGAAGGGTGTGGCAGCAGCTCAGGCAGCTAGGTAGACTCCTCACATTGTAATACAGAATGTGTGCCCCAGGGCACTCACACCCATAATCCCAGCATTGGATCATGAATCAATTACAAACTCCAGAAGCCCTCCTATGACTGCTTGAAGCTTTGGGGGACAACTAGACACAAACCATAACAGAACCTGATTCTCAAACTGCACTCCAGGAGGTTAAACAAACGCTTCTAAATGTGCCAGCACTAAGCTTACCGACGGGATACCAATTCATTTTGTATGTTGGATCAGGATCTGCTCAACAGCCTATAGGGTATCTGAGTCACTGTAGCAAAGGTGGGTCCTGTGTACCTTAGCACTGTGGCTGCAATGTCACTCTGGGTATGAGTGGCATCCAAGCTGACTTTAGACAAAGATCTCATTGCATACACACTTCACAATGTGGCAGGACTTCTTTCTTTCAAAGGGAGCTATGGCTATTAGACAACCAACTTCTTAAATATTAGGCTCTATTTCTAGAAAGACCAGCCATTCACATAAAGATATGTTCCTCCTCAACCCTGACAATTTCTACCAAAAAAGGAGAAAATTCGGGGCAGGGGAGATGGCTTAGTAAAATAAGCGCTTCCTTGGCAAGCTCAAGGGCCTGAGTTCAATCCCCAGTTCCACCAAAATAAATAAATAAATAAAAATAAAAGACCATACAGAAAAAAGGAGAAAATCCGAGGCTGAAACACATGATTGCAAAAGGTATGCAGTCAGGAAAGACTTGTAAGCCATATCACTTATTGACCCTGATTTGACTATCTTCTGTGATGGCAGTTCCTTCATGGACAACGGGACCTAGAAAAGATGAGGTATGCAATGTCAGACTCATCTGATACGTGGAAGTTCCTTACTTGCCCCAGGGACTAAGTGCTCAGCTAACAGAACTCTTAACTCTAACCTGGGCTTTACCACTTAGTAAATGACAGAAAATCAGTATTTATACTTGATATATGGGAAAAAATTATCTCTCAACCTGAGAGGTACCTAGGACGAGTTCGTGTTCTCTAAAACCGAAGAATGAATTTTAGGAACAAATGGAGGTTATGAGCAGAATATATTTATTGGGGGGAAAGAAAGAGAGGGGGGTGCCAAGTGGGTGGTCCCCAGGAAGCTGTCTCTTTCAGACTTTTATAGTGTAAAACCATGGGGGGTCTGAGGTGGACAACATGGGAACTTGCGTAGGTGGGCATGAAGTGGGACAAAACTCTGGTCAACCAATGAGATTACAAGCACTGTTGCTCAGGTAAAATTGTTTAAGTCCAGGAGCAAATGGGGAAGTGAGTCACGTAGCAAGTGGGCATGAATATAGAACAGGAGTTTATCCAGCAGCCAGCTGGTAGGAGTTGGCTTAGTGACTCTTCCTGGCTTCCTCAAGGTGATGATCAGTCCTGGATGCTTATCTCTAGGGAGGTCAGCATTTGTTCATTCTTTGATCTCTAGGTCTGGCCCACAGCAGGAGCATTCTGTCTCTCTCACAGTTGCAACATATCCTGTCTTCCATGCTGTCTCCTTAAGGGCCTAGCCCTGTCTGACTGCCTATAATATTTCTACCCATAGAAGACTTAAAAGTCCTGTTCAAGAAGAAAGCAAAGCCTTTAAATAAGCGATATAAGGAGTTACTCTTAGCCCTTTCACTAATCACTACTTAAAGGAGAGGGCAGTTCCCTTCAATGTGGGCACAGGGATATGCAGAGACATTACAACAACATGGGAACAAACTCTCTGAGTAGAGAGGTTTCTGGATATGCAGCCTGCTCCCCTTGGCAAGGACAGCAGGACTTCCTTGGTGGGTATCCACACTTCAAAGAGATGACTGAGATAAACTACAAGACTATATTGTTGAGGGCCAACCAGATAGCTCAGCAGATTAAAGCACCTGCTTAGGCAGAAGCAGGGACCAGGGTTTGATCCCGGTGTGCTGACAGGGCCCTGGCCTCAGTGAACACTGAGACAACTATTGAGACTGGGCGTGGTGGCTCATGTCTGTAATCCCAGCACTTGGGAGGCTGAAAACAGAAGGATCACTACAAGTCTGATCTGTGTAGTAAGACCATGTAGACCCTGTACTAAATACATTTAAAAAAAAAAAGACTATATTGATGAGATACAAAAGAGTTCAATAGTTCATAGTTTAGCCCACCCTATAGTGGTCTATAAACTATATTGCTAGTGATCTTGGGCATAATTTTTTTTGTAACAATGCCAGTGAAGCGTCTCTCTAGGCACTACTAGCAGGACTCCTATTAAGAGTAAAGAGTCCTATCCTGAGGGCCAACAACTGTGGTTACTCAGAGAGTTTGTTAGTTTGTTATTTTTGTTTCTGTTTTTCTTAGAACAGCAGAAGGAGCAACGCAGGCCTTGGGTGTTGTCCAATTTCAGGTGGTTGGGAGTGGTTTCCCATACCCAACTCCTGTACTACTGAGATTACAGGCATGTACCCACAAGTCCAGCTTAAGGTTTTTTGTTTTTTTTTTAAATATTTATTTATTTGTGCGTGTGTGTGTGTGTGTGTGTGTGGCCAGCTCAGCCCACCAGGGGGCGTTCTGGCTGGCATGTGGTGCTGGGGGATTGAACCACGGTCCCTGTGCTTTTTGCTAAACTTGTTCTAAGTAGGTGCTTTAGACCACTGAGCCATCTCACCAGCCCCAGCTTAAGGTTTTATAAGAGATATGGTCAGGAAATGCTTTCTTAGATTAGAAAATATGATTAAGGTCCTATATGACTGTGCAGTAAAAGAAAATTCTAGGTGTAGTAGTGCACATCTGTAATCCCAGCACTCAGGAGGTTGAGGCAGGAGGATCAGGGTGAGTTTGAGGCCAGCCTGGACTACACAGTGAATTCAAGGCTAGCCTGAACTACATAGTGAGATCCTGTCTCAAAAATACCAAAACAAAACAAAACAAAAAAACTACATATAATCTTCATGCTAGATTACTTGCAAAGGCAGCCACATTTCACCCTTATGAGTAAATGAATGGCTGTTATACTGGGTGTGCTGGTCCATACTTGTAATCTTAGATACTGAAGGAGCAGGAGGGTGGTAAATTCAAGGCCAGCCTGGGCAACTTGGCAAGCCCCTGTCTCAAAATAAAACTTCGGGCTGAAAAGCCAGGTCAGTGCTAGAACACTTCCCTAGCATGTGTGAAGCCCCGGGTTCAGCTGGCACACACCTGTAATCCCAGCATTTAGGAGGCTGAGGCAGGAAGACTGCTGTGAGTTTGAGACCAGCCTGAACCATGTAATGAAAACCTGTCTCAAAAAGACCAAAAAAATAAACAAAAAGGCAAAATGTTTATCAAGTGTGGGTTTACAAAAATAAAAGAAAAAAATCATCTGTATCAGATGATAAAGTAACTATCACATGGGGCAATACAGTATCAGAACCATCATGTAACACAATCACATCCTGATAAGAATTTCAAAAATAGGATAATTTTTGTTAGAAGTCATATGGGAAGGAATCTCAAGAAGTTAATATCAGGAAAGCCTTAAAGGCCTTTAACAGCAGATGTAAGAGGAAAATGATGTAAGTGAAAGAAAAAGGATAGCAAGATAATTGTGGTCCTGAAAAAGGAAAAAATATGCAATCACTTGCCAGCAATCCATTTTAATGTAGAAGGCGTGTGGGAGAACCATTTTTCATGCAACAAATAACAAGCACCAACTTGATCCTGGGCCTTGCCTTCTACTCTAAATATTACAACAGATCTAGAAGCTGAATCACCCACTGAGATCACAGACAGTATTAGAGCAGAGATTTAAATGCAACCAAGAACATTTAATTGTTGTACTATTAGGTCATACCATAGCCAAGTCAAAAAGACAGTTATCAGGGATTGGGATATAGTTCAGTGAATAGTGCCTGCCTGGCAAGTACAAGGTCCTGAGTTCAATTCCCAGTACCAAAACAAACAAAAAAACAAACAAACAAACAAAAAAAAACAGTTACCAAGCTAGGGTGATAGCTCAGCAGTAGACTGTTTACCTAATAGGCACAGAACTCTAGGTTGGAAAGTTAGTTATTGAAAGAAAACAAACAAACCTGGCACTAAACTAAATATCCATTAACAAGTGAATAGTAAAATAAATTGTGGTAAATAATACAATGGAACACTAAATAATAGTGAAAAATGTATTATATTTATAGAAAGTAATGGGGGAAGAAAAAGAGGAGGGGAGTGGCAGGTAAAAAGAACTGAGATGTGTTTTGTGCATGTATGACATTTAAATTCCATACATCTCATTTCTAGGATATGTATAAATAAAACAGATTTCATGCAACAACTGTTTTGGGGCTGAAAAGAGAAACCAGGTATATTGGAGGGAGATCAGGAATTGAAATGAGTACTAGTCAAAAAGTAGAAGGTACTCAAAATGAAATAGGATCTGTACAGAGGCAGCATTAATAGAGAATCGCAGTACAGTCATTTTCGCACTAGCCTATGATACTCTGTAGGAAAGCATTGGTAGGGAATAATTAAAGTTGTGGCCGAACATTGAGATTCTTGCAAGGTCTCATGAGGCTTTTGTAAACCTCATTCTGTAAACAACAGGAGCTTTGTATTAACATTTCTTAGTTTTAAGGAACAAGAAACAGCTGTAGCTGACTGAGATACACAAAGATGGAAGGGTGGAGAGAGGGAGAAAGGAATAGGAAAAGATGTAACATTTATTGAATAGGTTACAACTCAAGTCACTTGTCCAGGGATACAGCAGATCTAGGGATCTCAATAGGAGGAGCTGACTGACCAACTCTTCAGCTTCTCAATTGCAACTACAGTCTTCTATTTTAATGCGCCTCCAACCAAGATGCCAGTTCTCAGGAGACTGGCTGATCTAGTGTTTGTTTCCATTGCTGTGATCTGCATTCTGCGCTTGCAGTTTATTAAAATAAAAGGACAGGGGCCGGGGAGATGGCTCAGTAGGGTAAGCGCTTGACTGGCAACACAAGGATCTGAGTTCAATCCCCCATTCCGCCAAAAAATAAATAAATAAATAAATAAATAAAAGGACAGAGACAATGGGTAGTCCCCCAAAAATAAGGGATGTGGAGGGAGGGAGACAGACAGACACAGACACACAGACACACACACATGCACAGTTCGAAGTCCTTAGTAAACTATGGGATGGTTACTACTGTGCAAAACCTAAGAAATACCTTATTCAAACAGTTCTGCTGAAAAGATCTTAACGCTTAGTAATTTACTTAAGCCTCTGTTGTCGGTGACCTCATTAGCTAATATTTTTCGTTTGAGGCTACCTGAAATTTGTCTCTCCGACTGACAGCCTCTCAGATAATAATTCCCGGATTGATACATACTGAAATCATTTTTTGCCTAAGACTAACTGGCAGAAAATCAAACAAAACACTGACATGGGGAGATAAGACTCCTAACAGCCACCTCAAGCCACAATTCCCTCTTCCTTAGTAGGAGCACCGAGGTTTCCTACTCAGAATCCCCAAGGGCTGGGATGTCAGCAGAGCCTCAGGGTCCAAGACCCGAGTGGCCCGCGGCAACTGCAGATCCCTGGGGCAGGGACGGAGAGGCGGGTCCGCGCATGCGCACAAGACTGCAGGTCAACAAAGACGGCACGGGCGCGCGCGCGCTGAAGAGACCTAGGACGTGCGCGTGCGCGGCCACCGCTCTGCGTTAGCCGGCATTAGCAGAGGACAGAGAGCGAGAGGGGGAGCCTCCGACCTGGGGGAGAAGGGGTTGCGCTCCAGGCCGGCGGCAGGGAGGGGCGGGGCCGGCGGGCAGCGCGAGGAGGTGCCGTGCGCCCCAGCCCTGCGGGGTCCGCGGCCCGCGCCGACGCCGTGGCCGCCCCTGTCGCTTTGTCGCCGTCGCTCTGAGGGAGGCGGGTTATGGCGACGGCGGTAGTGGGAGCTGTGAATGAGTTCTCCGGGAGGACGAGGGAAGAAAAAAGGCTCCGGCGGCCCCAGCAGCCCGGCGCCCCGCAGGCCTCCGCCCCCCTGCGCGGCCCCCGCCCCTCCCGCCGCGGGCCCGGCCCCTCGGCCGTCGTCGCCGCATAAGCGGAACCTGTATTACTTCTCCTACCCGCTGTTTGTCGGCTTCGCGCTGCTGCGCCTGGTGGCCTTCCACCTGGGGCTCCTCTTCGTGTGGCTCTGCCAGCGCTTGTCCCGCGCCCTCATGGCCGCCAAGAGGAGCTCCCGGGCCGCACCGGCGCCAACCTCAGCCTCACCGCCAGCGCCGGAGCCGGGCGGGGAGGCCGAGCGCGTCCGAGCCTTCCACAAGCAGGCCTTCGAGTACATCTCTGTCGCCCTGCGCATTGACGAGGACGAGAAAGGTAACTGGGCGCTGGCGGTGCCGGCGAGAAGGCGGTGGAGCCGCTGGGGAGGGCGCCGCCGGCGTGCCGGTGCTGCGGGAGGGGCCTGCGGCCGGACCGCCCGGCCCGGGAGCGCGGGCCCCGTTCCGGGCACCGTGGCCGTCGACTTTGTTTCAAACACCAGCCTTCCCCTTCAGTCCCAAGTCCCCGTGAGACACCCAGACCCGCTGGTGACAGTGACAGTTGTCCTAGAGTGACCACACGGATCCTTTTTACCACGGTGAACTGTGGGGCTGCCTCTGAGCCAGGTTTTCCGAAAGGTTTGATATCGAAGAAGCTGTGCCTTGTTACAGGCTTTTAATGAAAGCAGAGTACTGTAGTGTCAGGGAAAAAAAGAGCAGATAGAGACCTAGCTTTGAAAAGAATAGCTGGGTGTGATTACAGCTGAATTTGCGCTGTGAAAAGTTTCACGCCAGTCATTTCATTAGTGCAATTACTCCTGGATAGTATTCATGAAGTTGTATTTTAGCATGAGACTTTTGTCCCTAAATGCTTTGGTTTTAATTAAACTAGTATTCCGAGTCAGCCTTTAAGTTTTTCAGTTGAAATGTTAAATGTAATGTTATACATATCGTTGTACAGTGAAATGTAAAACAGATTTAAGATTCTGAATGAAAGCAAGGATATTACATATATTTAAAATTACATCTTATATTTTAAGTTAGTTTTTTTCCCCCCCTTTGAGATGGGGGTCCAGTGGTTTTAAACTCAATATATAGTCCAACTGGCCTCTAACAGCGATTCTCCTGCCTCAGTCTTTCAAGCACTGAGTTATATGCCCTTAAGGCAGCCCGAAGTGGCAAAAACAAAACAAAAACAAACAAAACACCTCCTTCAAGTACTGAGTTATAGGCATTCACCACCATGTCCGACTGGAACATATTTTAAAATCTATAAGGCATTGTGTGTTATCTTGTTTTGTGTGTGTGTGTGTGTGTGTGTGTGTGTGTGTGTGGTATCATTATTTAATCCTTACCCTTTTGAGGTAAAAGTGCTCCTGATACCAGTGTTTAAAGATGAAACATTGAAATTCAAAAATGTGTTATTCCAAACTAGTGCAAATAGCTAGTGAAAGACTTTTTGTGCAAAATAACAAGCTAGGAAAAGTTGAGACAGGTTGACCTGGAATGCAGTGACCCTTTTGCCTCAGCCTCTTTAAGTGCTGGGATTGCAGACATGTGCCACCACACTTGGCCTCTTATTTTTTAAAATTTTTCTTGTACCTCCAGTATACAGAGAGCTTACTTTTTTCCTCCCCCAAAGAACCCTACCTTTCCTCTCAGCTAGCTACTCGCTTGCATTGTTCCTTAGTGAAAACAAGTGCAGCCTGCTGTCCCTTAGTATTGTCTTTCTCCACTGTCACCTCTAGAAACTCTTCTAGAATTTCAGTCTTGTCCAAACCTATTTCCTTTGCAGGGCTTAGGAGAGAAAAGCAGGCTATAGAGGGAAAGGCAGGCATATTCATAGTTTGAGTATAAAGATACTGGAGGTTGACTTTTTAAGACAGTAGACACATTTAAGAAAAGAATAGTACATGTTTCTGATAGGTTTCTTTTCTTTTTCTTTCTTTTTTTTTTTTTCTCTTGTTTTTGTTTGGGGGGTTGTAATAGTTCGGTGTTTTTTTGTTTTTTGTTTTTTGGGGTTTTTTTTTTGCTACCTTCCTAGAAGAACATTTATGGCAGTATCTTGTTATAAGGGTTCTTTGACAGTTACGCATCTAGAGCAAAATATATTTTAGGGTAGAGGGAATGTGTGAATGAGTAGATTGTTTGTGGCTGGGGATGTAGCTCAGTAGAGCTCTGGCCTGGCATGTACTAAGGCCTTGCGTTTGATCACCAACACCAAAAAATAACAGCACAGAGGCAGAAAGGTTGCAAGTTTGAGCCCAACCTGGGCAGTTTAGTCAGGCCCTATCTAAAAAGAGCAGGGCCCTAGAGTATAATCCCAAATACTGAAAAGAAAAAAAATTGAAACAAATTATGTATTTATTTTCCTTTAGAAATAAAGTGGTCTATATTGTCATTGTCCTTCTCAGTCATATTTATTTCTTCAGCATATTGGGAAAAAAGTTTTTTTTTAAATTTTGTAAACAATGTTTCACTATGTAGTCCTGGCTGTCTTTGAACTTATTATGTGGACAAGACTGGTCTCTTGTGTGGTGATCCTCCTGTCTCAGCCTCCCTCCTGAGTACTGGGATTACAGGCCTGTACTACCACCCCTGGCTATTTATTGGAAATTTTTGTATGTTAGGGAATTTTTTTGTTTGCTTGTTTCTGGGGGTTTTTTTGTTTGTTTTGTACTTTAGTTTTAATACAGTACAGTAGTTGAAAGATAATTTACATTTGGATTTTGTGGTGCCTCTCAGTTATACTTTTTTTTTTTTTTTTTTTTTTTTCTTTAGGGGAGAGTCTACAGAGTGTTCATGGTCTCACTACTAGATTGGACTAGTGATCTGCCTGTTTACAGCCTCCCAAGAGCTGGGATTACAGGTGTGGGCCACCAAGCTCAGTCTCAATTGCTGTTGCAGTGCACCCTGGGGGCACAGCAATGGTGGGGATAGAACCCCCAGTCCCTGTGCTTGCTTGCAGGCACTTTAATCCACTGAGCTATTTGGCCAGCCTAAAATTTGAGGAGTTTTTGTTGTTGTTGTTGTTATTTCAGGCTACCTTAAGGGCAGGTCTGGTGCAGCCTCTGGAACTGAGAATCAAACCGTGGTCCTGTGCGCCTGCCTGCATTTGTCCAAGCAGCACATTAAACAACTGAGCTATCCAGCGAAGCCCTCACACTTGTTTAAAGAGAGGACTAGGATGTCAGGCTCTTTTTACCTAATATGAAAACTTATAGTCCATTAATGACAATATTTATTTGACATCAACTAACTTTCATATCTCTACTTTCACAGATATTTGAGAAAAACTCAGCTCCTCTACAAAGATATATTTGTTATATGATTTCTAAATATATAATATATATTAGATATCTCATTTATCTCAAAGAATTATAATTTTGTAGATACTGTACTTTAATTTTTGAACCTCTTTGGAAGACTAATAACCTATGACATCCATTTGCTATGTAGAGAAACTGAAATTTAAAGTTGGGTATGGTGGTTCATGCCTGTAATGCCCTCATGCTAGGAGGCTAAGATAAGAGGATCACAAGTTAGAACCCATCATGAGACGTTGTTTCAAATAAAACAAAAATTGGCTCAGAGTAGCAGAACCAAGGACAGAATCTAGGTGAACAGATTCATAATATTGTACTTTAGACTTTATACTGAAAAAAGTTTTCTATTCTGTGAATATTGATAAAGGGCTCCTTGGAATACTTGGAAAAAAAGAAAAGGATGTAATAGTGGGTCTTTAAGTTAACTAGAACGTGACCTAACATGTTTTGTGTGGTTTGTACAAACAGAGAGACATACAATCTGGGTAATAAAATAGTGAAGGTTCAAAGTGTGGTTCAACCAGAGAATCCATACTAGGGAGAAGTGCTACCAGTGTGTTCAGTGTGACAGAAGTTTTAGCCAACTCTCTGATTTTATCAATCATGAGAAACTACATTCTGGGGAAGACAGTTTAAATGGAATGAGTATGGAAAAAACTTTAGCATGTACACCAACTTTATTCAATACCAGAGATACTATGCCAGAACAGCAATCCTATGAATGCTGTTGGTGAATATGAAATATTTCAATCAACGTTTAACAATTATGGTACATTATTTGGAAAAGCTACTAAGGAGAAAACTAGTTCGATTCTTATGGTGGAAATTTAGCTCGGGAGGGCCTGCCCCTTAGCTCAGTTCTTTAAGTGGCTGCTTCAGCAAAGCAGTCAGACTCAGGTTGCTGTGGTTCAATCCCCACAACTCAAGCCAGCCAAACCTGCCCTGAAGGCATTTGGAGCAAAAAAGAAAATTTAGCTCAGATCTCAGACGTTACTAAAGCTAAAATTTGTAATGAGTACTTGGAGTTAGGAAAACCTTCAATGTGGCTATTTTTACAGAATGTAGTCAACAATAAAAATAAATTCCGGGGGAACTACCCACTCGGGACCCCCTCCTGTCCCTCTCTTGGACAGGAGCTTTCTTTCTCTCAATAAATATATTCTGCTCTTAACCTCCAAAGGAAAAAAAAAATTTCCTATGTAATACAATTAAAACAAAAAACGTGTGGTTCAGTTTCTCAAGTTTCTGGTACTTAACAGTAAGGGCTTAATATTTTACATGAAAGAGAGTGACCCACTTCTCAGAATGTTGTATGGCAGAAGGATGTGACAGCAAGAACAGAAATTGTTTCCAGGCTTGGTATTGCACATGTACACTCCCAGAATTTGAATGAGTGTCTCTATGACTTTCTCCTTGCTGGGACAAAACACCTAACACCAAGTTCAAAGAGGAGAGGTTTATTTTGGCTCACAGTTTTTAATTGGCTGCCTCCAAGGCAAGTTGCCAGGCAGAGGGGCATTGCAGAGGAGAAAACAGTTCCTATAACAGAGTGCTCGAGGGAGGAACAGGGATATTCATTTAGGTCAGGCCACACCCCTAGCATCTACCTCTTCCCACCAGGCTTTACCTCCTGACTCATACCCAGATACAAATCCCTCAGTGGATGAATCTGGTGTCTCACACCCATGAGCCAGTCACTTTCCCAAAACCCGCCTATGAGTGTATGTGACTTTGCGGGGAGGGGCATCTAAATGTAAGCCATAACACACACTTTGCTAAAATAAGAGGAGAGAATTACCAATTTTTTGTTGTGAGGCAAGCAAAGAGTGGTGCTTTTTGGCTGTGTTTCTTATACCTGGGATTGAAACTTTGTTTGCACTGAGCTACATCCCTAGCCCTTTTTAAATTTTGAAACAGGGTCTTACCAAGTTGCTAAATTGCCCAGGCAAGGCTTGCATTTACAGTCCTTCTTCCTCAGGTCCAGAGTGCTGGGATTATAGCAGAGTGAATTATA